CGCCGCTTACATTTCTTGCCATTGTCGTTACTTGCTCTGTTTATTCCGCCATGTCGCTTCGGATGTAGGCCAGCCTACTGGTACAAGATGTTCGTGCGAAACCCGAAGAGAGATTACAAGCAACACGAGGGTCCCAGGACATGGAGGTTTGGGGTGGGTGGCAGCCCAAGAATTGCCGCTGTGCTCGCTTGTCTGTGTCTTGCTCATCTTACAGCTGCTCACCGCCTCCAGACCAAAGGCCAGCCAGCACAATTGGCGAGCCTGCCAGGCTGTAGCACACTTGTGTTGCGCACGTGCTTGCACTTGCACTTCTACCCGAGGCAGCCGTGCCAGAGTATCTTGGGTTGGGGCCCGTTTGTTGTTCGGGGATCTTATCAGCCTTGTACGCTGACCGTTTCCGCCAGGTACGTTGTGCCCCATGTCGGGCTTATGCATTTTTCTCTCGCATTAGGTCACGGATGCAGCAGGCTCACACCGAATGTTGGTCTAACGTGAAAAAAGAAGAGGAGAAGGAGAAGGAGGAGGAGGAGGAAAAGCAGGAGGAGGAGGACGAGGAGGAGGAGGAAAGGCAGGAGAAGGGGGAGGAGGAGGACGAGGAGGAGGAGGAAAAGCAGGAGAAGGAGGAGGAGGAGGAGGAGGAGGAGGAGGAGGAGGTGCAGAAGGTGCAGAAGGTGCAGAAAGGGGCCGAGAGGCAGCCTAGCAGGCCAACCTCTCGACAGGCGCCCGACGGCGCACGCGCCGCGGCCGCCCAGTTCAACCACGCCCGCGCATGGTTTCTGACCCCTCGGCACCGCCGCCGCGAGGAGGCTTTAAAGAGCAACCCCGACCCTCCCGCAGCGGCCCGTTCAAAGCAGAACTTCGGCGCCGACCTCTGGGATCGCCCCGTACACGGGCGGCCCCGGCGAAGGGCCCTCACCAGCCTTGGCCCCGCCTGCCAGTACCCGAGGTATTCCCGCGTCTTGGGCTTGCCCCAGGCGGTGGCCTCACGCCACCCGCTGGCCAGACAGCTCGAGGACCAGCCCCGGCTCCAGGCCTCGCACCCAGGCGTCGCGCGGAGCCCCCAGCTGCGGCACGACCTTCTGCACCTCGGCCCCGTGCCTCGAGCGGCGCCTCCTCCTCCTACGGGGCGTCGGCCTGCCTCTGCGACGGCGCACGGCTCGACCTGCGGCGCCTCGTGCTCGTGCTGCACGTCGTGCTCCGTGCGCACCCGCGCGGGCGAACCGGCCTCGGTCTCCTTCCCATCGCCTTGATTATCCTTCTCTTCCCTTTCTTATCATTGTGCTTTTTTTCCTCGGCCGTCTCCGCGCCCATTCAAGCCTGCAGGCCAGCCGCGGCCCACCGTCACCAGCTCCGTGGTAGCCGTCCGAGCCGCCCTCAGAGCTTGCCACGAAGAAGCCGCGGCTGTCCTTCTCCAGCTCCGCGGTGCCGCCCTCGCCCCCGCACAAGCCGTCTTCGTTCAGGCCTGCTGCCAAGACGCGAGCTTCCGTTATCGGCCCCTTGGTGCCGCCCGCGCCCTCCAACAGCTCACACGGACCTGCCGCCAGGCCGTTGCCCTCGGTCACCCGTCCTTCGGTGCTCTCCGCGTCTGCGGGCAGGCCATCGTCACCTCATCGGATACGTGGTCGGCCCACATCGTCTTCTGGCACTTGCCCGGGGCGACCTCCTGCGCCATGTCCTCCACAACCCCCGCGGGCTCCACCGCATCCTCGAACTCGTCCTCGCCGTCGCTCGCCCTGGCTCCCCGTCGGCTCCTTCCCTCTGTCCTTCTCCATGAACCCCTCGCTCTTTTGACTCGCGGGCAGAGGGCGATACGGCGCGGCCGCCGGAGCCCCAGCGAGGGGCCGACTTGGTCGGGCACCTTTGGCCGCTGCGCGATGCGGCGCACAGCCGAGGAGGCGAACTCTTCCTCGCTGCCCCCGGCGCAGCGCAGATTCCCGAGGAGGAGCGGAGCTTGCCCACGCGCCGGCAAGAGCGTGTCTCTTTATTGCTTGGGACATGATGGGCATTCCAGCCCCCAGCCCCCCCTCCTCCCCCCCCCTAACGCAACGCCCCCCCTCCCCTCCCAATGCGTTCCGGGCACTGCCGCCGTGCGCACGGCGGGGGGGCGGCGTTACATCATACCCCCCCACGCCCCCCTCCCCCCCCCCTAGAATGGTCATGATCGCAGAAAATAGCGAAACGCGCTCCAGAGCTTGCCCACGCGCTGGCAAGCGGTCCTGCCACCCCACGCCGCCCATCATGGCCGCCGCGGTCTCGGCGCTGCCGCCGCACGGGCGGGAAGAGCCGAGGCCGCGGGCTCGGAGGTTCCGGGCTCCCTGGCCCTTCCCGCGGCTGGCCTGGACCCCGCCGCGGCCTGCGCCTCAGCAGGGCGGCTCGGCGCCACCGCGGGGAGCCAGGCTGCCGCTGGGAGGGGCAGGAGGGAGGGAGGGATGGAGGTCAGAGGAGGAAGAGGTACCCATGCCGCTACCCTCGCCCACTTTTCCCCTTCTTGGGCCTCCTG